CCTGGTGGCCAGCTGCGTCGTGGGGTGGCAGCGGGTGTCCTCGGACCCCGGCCGCTGCAGCGCCTGCTGGCAGATGGAGCGTGACGGGGCTGCCACCGCAGCCCTCATCCGGGGTAAGCTGGGGGCTGCCGGGGGGTCCCTGCCCTCCTGGTTGGCTGCGCGGAGGGGTGCATACCGGGGGGCTGGCACCCCTCCCGACTGCCCCAGGACCAAACCCTGCCCCGAGCCCACTCCACACCCTCCCTCCTTCCTCTGGATCCACTCCCGGGGTACAGCACAGGGCAGGCGGGCTGGCACCATGGGGCAGGCACAGGGCAGCCAGGGGCTCTCAGCAGCCAGAGCCCCGAACCCCTGGCCCCCTCTCTGCTCTCCGTTGCAGATGGCATTGAGCCTTTCCAGCGGTACAACATCTCGGTGTACCCCCTCTACAAGGACGCCATAGGGGTGCCCATCCACACCACAGCCTACTCCAAGCAGAAGGGTACGTGTGCTCCCAGCAGCTGCCCTTGGTGCCCTGGGGGGCTCGCCCCCACACCGCCAAGCCTTTGCCTTTCAAAAAGGAGAGCCAGCCTTCCCACCACGTACCCCTAACTCAGGGGCTGGGCAGAAGAGCTCAGCCCACCGGGCTGGAGCTTGGCTCGTCTCTGAAGGTGCTCACAGCTGGACCGAGCCCCACAGGGGCACAGCGTGGGGCAGGGCCTGATGCCCACACCTCAGGAGTGGGAATCACCACTCAGGGCATCCCCCCGCCGGTCCCCCACCCCGAGGCAGCAGTTCTGCACAGCGCCCGCTCGCTTGTCCTGCTCCGTTTTAGCACCGTCCTACGCCCCGAAGCTCCACCTGAGGAGCATCAGCAAGTCCAATGCCGAGCTGTGCTGGGACCCAGTGCCCGTTGAGATGCTGAACGGCTTTATCACCAGCTACACCATCTTCTGGGCCAACAGCACCGCAGAAGTGTCCAGTGAGTCCTGCAGGCATCACTGCCGGCCCTGCCCTCCATCCTGCCTCAATGTGTTGAGTGGGGACACCAGCAGACTCCGTGCCCTTGTCAGAGAGGGTCGGGGTGTGTGCGTGGGTCCCGCACAGGACCCCCCGCCAGCAGAGACCCAAGGGGCTGGGCAGGTGAGAGGCCCCTGCAGAGCAGCCCCCGCTGTGCCAACAGCCCCCCGTGCTTCCCCAGGCGCCACCGTGAATCCCTCTCTCAGCTCCTTTGTCATCCGGGAGCTGAAGCCCTCGACCCTGTACAAAGTGCACATCATGGCATCCACGGCCGCTGGCGGCACCAACGGGACCAGCCTGACCCTGGTGACCATGGTGCTAGGTGAGGGGGTGCAGCCACCCGGTGGGGTGCAGGGACGGGCGGGGACCCGCCAGACCCTGGCTCCTGCCCCAGCGTCGCGGCACGGCGCGGCCAGAGGTGCCCCACCGCAGTTCCCCCGTGACCCTCGCCCCTGCCCGCTTTCCAGACGACGCTGAAATCCAGTTTCTCTTCCTGACCCTGGGGCTGATCTTTGTCCTGCTCATCCTTTTGTTCATCTGCTTCCAGAAGAACGGGCGGTGAGTACCGATAGCCGCCGCGGGCTGGACCGGCCCTGCACCAGGCTGGGCTGCCCTGGGAGTCCCTGTCCCCAGTGGCCGTGGTGGTCCTAGACACAGCCTGGCTGTGGAGGGACGGGGTGGATGCAGGGAGTGGCAGCGTCCCGCTGTGAGCTCGGCAGGGGCAAGGCCAGCCCCAAGGCCGCTGGTTTCAGGCCCCCTCACCGAGTCCCCTTGTCCTGTGGCCGGCAGGGTGAAGCAGCAGTTCTGGCCCAGCGTCCCCGACCCCGCCAACAGCAGCCTGAGCAAGTGGGTGCCGGCAGAGCTGCAGCAGGTGAGACCTGGATGGCTGCTCCCCCTGGCAGCCCACTCCCCACCCAGGCACTGCTCTCATGAGCAGCCCTGTGGCTCCGGCTGTGCTCTGTGCTCTGCAGGGTGTGGAGGGCACGGCACCCAGGGCACGAGGCCATGCTGAGATGAGGAACAGGGGTGCGGGGAGCTTCCCTCGCGTTGTGCCCAAAGTGGGGCAGAGGGGCTGCACGCTGCAAACACGCCATGACCACACGCTGTTCCTCCAGGAGCCTCTGCAGGTCCCCGGCGTGAGGGAGCCTGGCCTGGCGACCATTTCTACCGTCACAGTGCTCGAAAAGGCGGCGGGGAAGCAACCATCCAGCTGGGGCAAGGAGCCCGCCATCGAGACCACCGGCACCTTCCCTCCCCTGCCCCGGCCCTACGTGCGGCAGGAGGGACCCGGCACGCCGGGCCACGGCTGGGCGGCAGCGGAGCCATGCCAGGGCCCCGGCGGGAGCAGGGAGACCGTCCAGTATGCGCGGGTGGTGGGCGACGGGTACAAGGGCCAGCAGCAGGCCCGGCCTCGCCTCTACCTGCGCTCCAGCTCCACCCAGCCCCTGCTCCTCGACCCCAGCCCCAGCCCCAAGCCCTACGAGAACCTGTGGTTCCACGGGGCCGCCCCGCCGGGCTG